TTATTTGAATCTGTTCTGTTGTAACATTTTATTCTTCCACTGTGACTCAGGGAGATTCAGGTGGTCCCTTAGTTTGCAAACACAACGGAATGTGGCATTTGGTGGGCATCACCAGCTGGGGTGAAGGCTGTGCCCGCAGGGAGCAACCTGGTGTCTACACTAAAGTCGCTGAGTACCTGGGCTGGATTTTAGAGAAAACGCAGGGCAGTGATGGAAAAGCTCGGATGCGGTCACCAGCGTGAGGAATAGCCCAGAGTAGAGGCGATTTTTACAACCTGGGTTCAAGTCAAACTCTGAGCCTGGGGGTCATCTGCAAAGCATGGAGAGTGGCATCTACTTTGCATCCTGTCATAAGGACAAAGGACAGCGTCTTGCTGAGGCCAGCTCTCGGCATTCAGTAACTGGGAGCTGGTACTGCGAGGCTGCAACTGAACGTCTCCATGATTGCGTGTTGTGAAATAAATGGTAAAAGATCATGATTAGCAAGTGTTTTCTTCTGGTTGCGAAACAGAACTGAAAGTAAGTGGTTGCAGATTCTAGCACAGCGCCTGGGATCACTCTAATTGCACTGCTTCCTCTGGAACTCAGTAGATCTCAGAGATGTAATTTCCGTTCCGTGCTGCACCTGCTTGGCCACTGAACCCCAATGGGGCAAAGAGCTAGTAGGCTTGGGTTTTGTTCTGCTGGGTGGAAGGGAGGACACCTGTGTCACGCCCACTCTTATAAGAAAAAGACCAGTTACCTGAACATGGGAGAATCGGGCACCTTTGCCTCTTGGCCTCCTAACTTGGCTACTGGGGCATGCCGAGGAGCTCGAGGTGCTGCAGCATTGCACAGCCTTCGTGGTAGGCAAGGAATCTGCTTTGCAAAGGGCATTAACCCTGGAGGCTCAGTGGATCTGGGCTATTACAATAGTAATTCAAGGAGCATTTTTAGGCCTGGCACAGTGGCTCACGCCTGTAATTCCAGCAGTTTGGGAGACTTGAGTCTACGAGTTTGAGACCAGCCTGGGAAATGTGATGAAACCCTATCTCTACAAAAATATACAAAAATTGGCTGGGCTTGGTGGTGCACACCTGCAATTCCAGCTCCCCAAGAAGGATCACTGGAGCCCAGGGGGGTCAAGGCTGAAGTGAGCTGAGATCGCACCACTGCATTCCAGACAGAGTGAGACTCTGAGACTCTGTCTCAAAAAAAGAAAGAAAGAAAGAAAGAAAGAAAAATGGAAGAATTATTAGGTATAAATTATTTCATAAAATATAAAATTCAGACTTGTAAATTTATAGTAGCCTTTGGAATGGATGATAAAAATCCTTATGCAACACAAAAACGCAAATTCCTCATCTAAGGCTTCCCATAACTGATACCAGCTTGCTTGATTCAGCTCAGTTAAACTGGATAACATGTACACAGAATTGGCCGTTTTCAAAATTTTATGTAAGTTAAGTAGAAAAATAGAAAAGTGAGGTTTTCTGAAAGAGTTTGAGTTTTTCCTTCAATGCTCAAAAACGGAGGTCCCCAGGCTTTTTGGCACCAGGACCAGTTTTGTGGAGACAATTTCCCACAGACTGGGGATGATTCAAGTGCATGACATGTATTGTGCAGTTTATTTCTATTATTACTGTATTGTAATATGTAATGAAATAATCATGCAACTTGCTATCATGTAGAATCAGTGGGAGCCCTGCACCTAGACGGTTCCGTCTGAGGGTGACAGATCATCAGGCATTAGATTCTCATGAGGAGCCTGGATCCCGCGCATGCGCAGTTCACAGCAGGGTTCCAGCTCCTGCAAATGTCTCATCCATCCGCTGACTGACAGGAGGTGGAGCTCAGGTGGTAACGCGTGCTGGCCTGCCCCTCACCTGC